TCATTCCATTTCCATTCCGAGCATTGCTATTGGACAGTACCTTTCTCTGAGTAGAACTTCCCATGGACGCTATCTTCTTCCCACACGTTATCTCCCTTGACTCACCTTCTACCAATAGGCGCCCTTGTATTTCTCATTTCTCTGAGTTACGTTCTCACAGGATAGCTGACGCGTCCTTTCTTATTGTTCTCTTCTTTGGGTATTAACCCCTATACCAGTTACTATATATACTGTAGGAAAACCCATGTATTCCTTAGTTCAACCTCCTGTTGAATACAGCGATTACCTGGACTCTTGACTTGACCGTTGGCATTGGCCCGGCCAGACCTACCTTTCAGTACGCTTACTGAGGTAGTGACGACATAACTGTTGGCACATGGCCCAGTTATCTCAAGACGACTAGTTAGGACATCGCTTCCTAACAAACGCCAAAAAATGGCAAAGGTTGCTCTTTGCTCCGCTCTTCGCGATACTGGTTTCTGCAGCAATCCTAAAGACTGCAAGTACATGCACGACGTCAAGGTATGCGAGCCTTGTGGCGTGGTCTGCGTGTCAGACGTCAACTATAACAGACACTTGGCCGGCAGGAGACATCAGTCGCGGATGCGGGTCCTCTTCATTGAGTACTATTGCCGGAGTTGCTTGGAAGTCGTCGGTGATGGATTAATGGGGTGGTCCGCGCATATTTAGGTCACATCTCATAAAGAAAATGCTGCACAGCAGGGCTGTTTACCGAGTATTGCGCCTCAAACCCCTCCCAATCAGCAGAGCAACGAGGAGGGAGCAGTAGAATCTGGCGCGCCGTGCGACGCAAAAATCGGCCCCAAGCTCATAAGGAGGCATCATAGGACACTCGCTCATCACGAGAGGCGGGAGGAGAAACGGGAGAAGTTGAATATTTTCTTCGGGGAGCATACGAAGAACAGGCATGGCATTACAATATCCGGCAGGTAAGGAGGTTTAGACATGGGCACTGCTCACCTTTGGAGAGCCGATATGGAGCCAAGTTGCGTGGTCGTCTTTCGGTGATAATTATCGACTCCTCGGCAAAGATTACCGTTGTACACGTATCTCTGCGCTCAGAATGAAAATTCGCTGTATGTCCCGTAATTCAAATAGCCCGTCATATTAGAATGCTGATATATTGCTATAGATTCCCCATCGACTCGACTGCATCAATCAACAAATGCCTCGTCCACAGACGAGAGTACGCCATTTCAGTCACCTTTGATGCATTCGATGGAGGCCGTTTCGCAGGCGGTAAAGGTCATTTCGCCGACCGCTCAAGGAGACTTCTCAACCTACGCATGTGTAGACTAATCTACAAGCATGCAATTCCGACAATTGCCTTCTCTGCCGTTTGGTGCATCCTCCTTTGCCTGGAATATGCAGCACGATATCAATTTCCTTCCTGCTGATACTTCTCAGCAGATCCAGGTAGGAGGGTGCTTCTTGATGGACCTACCTTCAATGGGGACAGCATTCTTATATCAATACCGAGTCTGTATAATAACTCAACTTGCACGATTATTAGGCAGATTGCATCTGCAGTATCACATCTCTCGGCGTCATGAGGATTACTCTCGTTTGGACTCGAGGCAGCCCCGCAAGTGTCAGTAGAACGATGACTGACGCGTCGCTCCCATTAGCTCAGCCAACCAGAAGTATGATCTGCTGACGCCAACCTTTCTTGCTGCAACTCGATAGGAAGGTAAGGCAACCAGGAGCTCGATTGTTATATTGAATGCTTTTCCGGTGAGAACATGTCACACTGGGAATGCGTGCACTGATAAGGCTCCGGTGATTATCGGCCCAGAAAGCCGACCCATGTCGAACAAAGGAACGCAAGTGGACCGAAGCTGAAGTAATGTGATCTGTCCCAAGGCATTCATTGTCCCAGGTGAACATCAAGTACCTGAGAGATCCGCAGAAGGGTGTCGTCTACTCGCGTCTTTGTCCATGCACAACATGTCTGTACACCTTGGTGGTCATTCGCATACGATGCCTGGAGATGCTGCAGACACTGAGGAGAGGTGTCTGAATGTCAGCGATGCGCTGGGCTACCTCGATGCTGTGAAAGCGCAGTTATATGATCACCCCGAGTCATACCACGAGTTTTTGGATATTATGCAGAATTTCAGGAGTCAGACGTAAGTGCGTTAAGTCCCGCCCTTGCATTCAAGCTAATGCATATCGGTCCGTAGTATAGACGTTACCGTCGTGGTTCAACGCGTGTCTTCGCTCTTCCGCGGCTACCCCGCCCTTATCCAAGGCTTCAACGTGTTCTTGCCACCAGGATATCGCATCGAATGCGGTAACAGCTCGCAGGTGACAAATGTCATTACGGTCACCAACCTTGGAGGGCCGACTACTTGCTCTGTGGCCAGTGATATGGAAGTTGATGTCTATGACGAAAATTGTCTTGCTGGTGGGTGTGCTAGGCGGTGACTTCTCTCGATGCCACCGACGGTGGCGGCCATAAGTTGATTCGTTTGTAGAGCAAAGATGAAGGAAGTTCGAGCACCAAACGAGGACTCTACTCTGTAATCTGTGATGTCGATACCACTCGTCAAAGCCATGCGTGGAACCTTTCGAGTTCCCCAATATATTTGTTGTGGCAGCATCGCAGTGGGACAC